TCTAATCATGTTCTACAGATCATATCGTCATCCATCAGATATTTTATAAGAACATGGGTTATAGGAAAAATTGTAGTAATTCAATATAGCCTCAGTAAGCATGTTATCTCATAAAACGTTTCATAAAACGTAATCATTAAATCATGCTTTTCATGTATGCATTTCTACTATTAAAACATGCATTTTAGAAGGGGTTCACTCACAATACTTCGCTGTCGAAAAGCCACGCAACCTAGCTAATAAGGGAACGCCATAAATAATTGCCCCTAAGCACATAAAGGGTACACTTAGTCAAACTTTACTCAAACCACTTAATTTGGGAAAACGAATATCGGAAATGCGTTCAGAACATCGAATTTAGCCTAGAAGTGGTCCTAGACAAAACTCGAAAAGTCAACTCGAAAGTCAAAGTCAACGGTCAACGTTGACCCAGTCAATGATTAGACTAGGTCCAAGTCAACGGGTCCGAGTCGGACCAAGTCAAATGGGTTTGGGCTTAGGGTTGGATCCGAGTTGGGCCCTAAAGGTTTAGGGTTATTGGGTTTAGGGCTTGGACTTAGGGCCCCTAACAACACACGGCCCAAATGCCCTTAGAATTGAAATGGAAAAATGGGTTTGGATTCAGGGCCTTCACAGATGAGTCCCAAGGCCTTTAAAACAAATAATAAAAATATAAATAAAATAAAAGGAGGTTGGTTTGGGCTTGGTAGGAATGGCTCGAAGGCCTTAGACTTTAAAGGATTTGGGTTTGGGGTAATTAGGCTAGATCTCAGCCCAATGGGTTTGGGTTATAAGGCAAATGGGTTGGGTTGACCCGTTTTCAGGCTAAGCTCTTGGCTGGTTTCTGGGTTGATTTTCCAAGGCTCATAACTTCTTCGTTACTCAACCAAATCAAGTGATTCAAAATCGAAAGTCATAGTTCTTGAAGAGACGAAGAGAATGGTACCTCACACGACACTAACTCATCGTGATTTGGCCAGAAAACACCTCGAAAGGGACTGTGCTCGGCGGAAAATTTGGAAAAGCTACTCCGAGCTATTTTCTACAGTTCACGCATATACACCTCTTAAAACAAATTTTGATCTAACCTTAAAACATAACCCAAGGGTTTCTTGAAGCTTACCAACGTTGGAAAAACACAAAACACGTCAAAGAAGATGATGAACAGTGACATCGTCACTATTGGGGTTCCATGAAGGTTTGCTTGAGTTTTCTCGAGGTTCCTACATCCAGTGGTGTTGGTTTGGGGTTGTTGTTGCTTATGTGAGTGACAAACTTGAGAAAAGAGGGAGAGATCATAGAGGGAGAGAGAGGTCTTGGGGTGGGGGAAAGAGAGAGGGGTAGGGATGAGTTGAGGGAGACGAGAGAACTGTGAGAGATGAGAGAAGGAGCACGGGAGACAAGGACATATATCAAGGGTGGGCCTCTTGGGCACACCATTTAAGACCCAAAAAAACCATTTTTTATAAACTTTTTAGGGAATTTATGAAATTACACTTTAATTCGGGGTTAGGGGTGTAACAATCTACCCCCTTAAAAGAATTTCATCCACGAAATTTAAAATCACTTACTAAACTGAAATACTCGAAATAGTAAGAAGAACATATGTATAAAGAGAAATCAAGTCAGAGTGGGTGCATCAAAGAGAATATGCCACACCATCGCGAGCGGGTTGCAAAATCCTCTATCATGCCTCCAAGCTCTTACTTTCTTCGCCATCAATGTAAAAGTAGAAACATACTTTATAAAGATATAAGGTCAAAAACATAAAATAGCTTAAGGTCAAAAGTAAATACATAAAATACGATAACGTCCAAATAGATATGTACTAACATATAGGTCGAAAATTCGTGCTGAACTTAAAACTGAAAACAAAAATACTCCCCCAAAACATTTGTAATGACTAAAACAAATATATAACTATAATAAGAAAATTTACAATACTTACACTGAAAATCAAAAATCGAAAATGAAAGTGGGTCTCGCCCAAGAATTCGTAACCTTACATACTCTGAGAACATATGTGTCTTTAGGTCGAGCCCCAACAATAACAAATCCGTAACAACTACTGAAGACGGGTCTTCCTGCCTACTTGCTTAACGAACCCAACGAATAAGTTATTGATACTACAGTCTGTAGCCCGCAATATCAACAACACATTAGTGGTCTCAATGAGCAAGCAGTAATTTTTTGAGGGTGCATAATTTCACACATCATAAATTCGATCCTCCGAATACTAGTTTGCAAAACTCCTTTATCAACCAGTATTGCCAGTAGAAAACTCTCGTACCATGTCGTAAATAGTGCCATACCCAAATCGAACAAAACAAAAACTGTGTTGAAACAATTCCATCCAACACCAAGCACCCCTTCCTCCTCAGTTCTTCCAAATGTGACCAACTACTCCAGAGTTTTGCCAACAAAGAACCCATTTGAAAACTGTACCTTGGGATTCAAGAGAAGTGGCTACCATGTTAATAGCAAACTCAAAAGCTCGAGCCAAACAAGCAGAAAACAAGAAGTCACCTTTCCCAACAAGCAGTATCTCAAAGAAGCCGTTACAGTGTTCAAGCCACATCTCCATTTTTGCTTAGTTGTAGATTTCTAGTTAAACAAAATCAATGTTGGTGGAAAGAAGAACTCGCAAATGATTAACCTAAAAACCCCATGAGAACACACACCATTCGAGAGAAGTGTAAAGATCCACTTGGTAGCCTCGAGACGTGTTGCCCCATCATTCGGGCAGCCTCAATTTCCCCTTTTCTCCTTCTTCTCCCACCACTTTAAACACCTTCATTCTCCTTTGGCTTCGCTACGAGACAAAACCCACCGAGATCTTCCAGTTATATACATCCCCCCCCTCTTTCTCTCTAATGGCATCCACCTGCACACGCGTCTCCGTCTGAGCCTCACCTCCTCTGTTCCCTGCCTTCCTCTGTCTCTCTCTCTAAAAAAACAAAATGTATGAACCTTGCTCTCGAAGTATCCTTACCCATTAGCATTACTTGCACACAAAGCAAATTAAAAACCAAAATCCCAAAAGAAATCCCCCACCTTTCGAATCCTACCTCATATTTAATCCCACCCATTTCTCTGTTTTTCGTCGCCATTAAAACCCCAGAAAGCTTTGCTGTTTTTATTTTGGTTATGACAAACGGCTCTCACAGCGGCAATGCGTCAAACACATTTGAGGCATTCTACGAGGGCTGGCTGGTCCGGCAAGAAAACTTCCTCGATGAGCTCTTATCGGCCCAGTAGACGATCGACGATCGACGATGCCCAAGATGAAGACCTCCGAGACTTGGTGTCCCGGGTTCTCTTCCATTACTAGCAGTATTACGACGAGAAATCCCGACTTGGACAGCGGGATGTTTTACTGGTTTTCTAGCCGACGTGGTAAACTTCCTACGAAATGAGCCTGCTTTGGATTGCCAGGTACAAACCGGGTATCGTATTCCGGCTCGTGATCGAGCCGGTGCCCGATTTGAGTGACCATCAGCGGGTCAGGATGGCCTGGCTGAGGAAGGCGACCAGGGTCGAGGAGCGCGCGCTCAATGACAAGCTCGCCAAGATTCACGGGAGCGTGGCGGCGCCGCTTTTCATAGATGCGGTGTGGCGGTACGGGGGGAGCCGGGCACGGGGAGATCGTGGAGGACGACGCGGTGATCAAGTCGCTTAAGTCGGCATTGGAGACCGTGTAGGAGTTTGAGACCCTCTTGTCCCACATTGGTCAACAGTATTTTTTCACTAGCCTTTATATAGGCTTATTCATTTTTCTTAGTAATTAGAACTTGGACCATTTGGAAATGGATTGAAGGCTTGGGCCTTATGGTTGGTTGAATTAGGCTTGATGATTATATTATAATATTAATATTAATTAATCAAGACAAGGGCCTTGGGCCTTGGGGCACTTAGGGCCAAGGAATTAAAATTAATCTGATCAATTAGTTTTAATTTCGAATTAAGTTTTTAATTAAATTAATTAAAAATGTTTTGATTAATAGACACAACTCTTTGGAAAGAATTGTATCTCTTTGGAAAGAGTTGTATAGCTTCAAATACATCCAAAAGGTGTTTGAAGAGGTATGAAAGAGCCTATATAGCTGGAGTCCTTAGTTCCATCAAAAATCATAAAAAAGTGTTTGAAGAGGTATGAAAAAGCCTATATAACTAAAGTCCTCAGTTCCATCAAAAATCATATTTTTCTTCCTCCTTGTCTTCCGTACAAAATTTCCAAAGAGTAAACATACAAAGCAATTCACTAGAGTTCTATAATCCAGTGCAGGTTGTAGAATTAGGTATTTATATCCTGGTCGAGCAAACGTTGTAGAACCATAAGCACACGAGTGGGACGGAAATACTGTTCGAAGGACATAGCGTTTACTATAACATAATTGCATTCTGTATTACAAGTATTTTTGAATAATAAAGTATAAGTATTTCGGTTCTGTATTTCTGTTATTTTATTGTTTCTAAATTGTTCTCCAACAATCTTCGAACAGTATGGAACAATCGGGAACTAAACCTCATTCTGAAAAGCCTGAGAAATTTAAGGGCGGAGACTTCAAAAGATGGCAGCAGAAGATGCTGTTTTATTTGACAACTTTGAATTTGGCTAATGTTCTGCGTGAGACTGTACCTACTGCAGATGGGGAAAATATTTATTCTGCATAAACTTTAACGGCTATAAATGCCTGGAATCATAATGATTTCCTCTGCAGAAACTATATTCTCAATTCATTGTATGATGTCTATGTAGTATGCAAAACAGCCAAAGAACTTTGGGAATCACTTGAGAAAAAATATAAAACTGAGGATGCTGGTTCGACGAAATTTGTTGTGGGCAAATTTTTGGACTACAAAATGGTAGATTCCAAGTCCGTTGTCTCTCAAACTGAAGATCTCCAGAAAATCATCCATGACATTCATGTTGAAGGGATGGTGATCAATGAGTCTTTCCAGGTGACAGTCTTAAATTCAGCCAAAGAAGGTAGATATTTTTGCTTTTGAGCCTTCGACCCACGTAATGCTATTCTTCACAGTCCTGAAATGTTACACTAGTTATAAGTCTTGACTTGTCAACAACATCATTTTTCAGTGAAGGTTTGGTTATTTATAAAACAAAAAGTCAAAAATAAAATTATCCAAATTCTAACCAATAGTAAGCATTGCTGCTGAGGAATGAACCAAGAAGAAAGTAGAACAGCTTGCATCAACTCTAGCAATTTCAACTGTAGCAAAAGCATTTGCCGTAATAGAAAGACCAGGACACCCATAACCCTGATAGAAAGAAGGCCAAAAGCGAAATTACCAACCCATCCAACAAATTATCAAACGCAAGATTTAAAAATAACTTATTAAGATATGTATTAAGCACCTTGATTGTCCCACCAGCAATGCGCAATGCACCAAACTTTGGAATAATTTGAAATGGAAACTCTGCCTTCTCCCAATACTGAAAAAACAAGTTTGCAGATCAATCTCATTGTTTATGAATGTATATTAATTAATTAATATTGACCGTTTTAGCCTTAATACGAAATGAAGAAATGGTTAAGAGTAAAAGGGATACCTCTGCCATAATTGGAGTAACGTCTTTCTCCATACACCCTCTTACTCTCAACCTAATAGCCTGCTTCTCAGGTGTCAATAGATCATCAATCTGGTAATAATCTGAAGCCGTAAATTTTTAAGGCCAAGAGATAAGAATATGGAAGTTAATTATTGAAGTTGCCCATTTCTTCAAATTACAAATCAAAATCACAACAACTAAAGAGGTGCACGAGCAATGTACTAAATATTCACAAAGAAACAAAGTAAACAAACCAGAATGCAAAAAGTGAGACAAGATGAATACGCAAATCCGAAAAATTCGAATCAATAGTCTGGATTCACATAAGTTACATAACAAGAGGAAATCCTGAACTGTTTTACAAAAGACAATTTCTCCATAGACACACATACAAGTTTATCCATGCGATATCTAGTATATAATGATGGTTAATGTTCTTACTGCAGGGAGGAAAAATAGAAGCCGGCGTTGCTTGCGGAAAAGCAACTGAGACATCCAATGCAGCGGTATTGAAGTAATTCGCCCTCTCATTATTCTTAACATCATCTGCAGGACACCAGTAAAACAATAGCAACCGTTAAACCGAGTCGAAAGTTAGAAATCACAGCGACATACTTAGCTTATAACAATTGCAGAATACCAAATCAACAACCAGAAACTTCAAGTGAAAACCAAGAGCTTAATTCCAAATGCTAACTCAAGAATTAACCCACAAATAAAAAGTCAAAATTTCAGTATAATTTATTAAGGCAGATACTGAAATAGATAAGCAAGCTATTTGTTAGCTAAAACTGTAAACCTTTAGCTGTGGTTATTGTGTAATTAGTTGTAGGAGCTAAGGGCATTAAGGGCATTAATGCATCAATCCTTTAGCTATATATGCTCTCTTGTACTGATGTAATTATTCAAGAAAGTAAATATCATTTTTTTACGGAGAGATTTTCTGTTTCTATATGGTATCAAGTTGCCAACCGCCTCACGACTCTCATTCACCCATCGCCTCGATCCTCTTCCGCTCGCTGCCTCGATCGATTTCTTGATCGATCTCTACCTTTGATCTGTAATTTTTGTCTCGATTCATCATGGCATCCCCCTCTGAACCATCATCTCCGATGGATTCACCGCCATTACCAAACCCTAATCTCTCTAGCAGTTCTCCCTATCCAAATTCGTATCTGTCTCTTACAATTCAGAACATTGGAAGTATGGTACCTATCAAGCTCAAGCACACCAACTATCTCCCATGGTGTGCCTTATTTGCTCTTATCCTTCGTCGCTACAAGCTCATAGGTCTCATTGATGGTACTGAGCTATGTTTGGCTCCTCTTCTCCCTGATCGATCTGTGAATCCAATGTTTGAGCAGTGGTTTGAGAAAGATCAAAATCTGTTAATCTGGTTGAATTCGACACTCTTTGAAGATCTCATTCCTTTCACGGTTGAAGTATGTACATCTCGATAGCTATGGCAGAAGCTTGAACAACGTTTTGGTGGAGTCTCTGATGCTCATGTTCATCAACTTCGTTCTTGTCTTCAATCTATTCAGAAAGGTCATCAATCGATCTCAGAATATCTGCAACAAATCAAGGAAATTTCTGATTCTCTCACTGCCGCTGGTGCTCCTATCTCCGATCGAGACCTAATTGCAGCAACACTTCATGGCCTACCAGATGAATTTGAGTCGTTCATTGACTCAATCATGCTTCGGTTGTCTTCCACTTCTCTTGATGAATTACATGGCCTGCTACTTACTAAAGAATTATCCATGGCTCGTCGTAAGCAAACTGGTTCTTCTTCTGTCACTGATCCATTTCAGGCATTCTCTGCTCATTCTTAGGCACCATTGCTGCCTATGCCTACATCTTATTCACCACTTCAATCTTCCTTCCATTACAACTCTAATCGTGGGAGACAGAATCGCACCTTCAACAGAGGCAATCGCAATCGCCATACCAATCGTGGCTTTTTCAATGGTAATCATCATGGTTCTCAAAATCATCCTCAAGGCTCCCAATCAAATTATCAAGCCTTTTCATCCTCTTCTGGCACTAAGAATCCATGACAAATTTGTGGTTCCACTAGCCATGAAGCTATTGATTGTTTTGATAGGATGAATCCTGACATCTTTGGAAGAGTACCACCAGCCAAACTTGCTGCTTTATGTGCTCATTATTCTTCCAAACCCTCTTCCTTTTGACTACTGGACTCTGGAGCTACATCACATATTACCAATGATATTGCAAATCTTTCTGTCTCCTTTGCCTACACCGGTGAAGACAAAGTCTATATCAGAGATGGTAAAGGTTTGTGCATTAAAAATATTGGTTCCTTATATTTACATACTCCTCATACTGATTTCAAGTTGAGTAATGTACTACATGTTCCACATATGAAGCACAATTTACTGTCTGCCTATCAATTTCTCTAAGATAATGATTGTTCTGCGACTCTTGACCCTGATAGATTTACTGTAAAAGATCGTGTTTCAGGGAAGACGCTTTTGCGGGGCCAAGTTGAAGATGGGTTTTATCCTCTGCAAGGTTTCAATAGCACTGTTATTTCATCACCATCAACTTTCATTAGTGTCAAAGCACCTGTGAAGATTTGACATCGCAGATTGGGTCATCCATCTTCTTCACTGTTTCGAAAGGTTCTATCTAGAAATAATCTTGCTGTACAAGGCAAGACCACTGTTGATTTCTTTTGTTCAGATTGTGCTCTTGTTAAAAACCATAAACTTCCATTTGGATGTGCAAGTTCTACTACAAGTCACAGTCTCCAACTACTTCACTGTGATCTTTGGGTCCTACGTCTGTTCTCTCACCTAGTTGTTTTAAGTACTATATGTTAGTAGATGACTACAATCATTATAGTTGGTTGTTTCCTTTAAAGGCCAAATCTGATGCCTATTCTACTTTTGTTGTATTAAAAAAGTATGTAGAGACCTTACTTGGAAATAAAATCAAAATTGTACGTTCCGATTCAGGGGGTGAATTCACTAGTACTCTTTTTCAGTCTTTTCTTCGTTCTCATGATATTATACACCAATTAAGCTGTCCTCATACCCCTGAACAGAATGGTTGCGCAGAAAGGAAGCATCGACATATTGTGGAGACTGCTCGAACTTTACTTGTTGCATCTAATGTACCTTATCTCTATTGGGTAGAGGCCTTCTCCACAACTGTGTATCTTATCAATAGGTTGCCAATATCTGGACTATCTCAATCTCCTTGAGAACTACTTTTTCAAAAACCCCCATATTACTCCAGATTGAAGGTATTTGGCTGCCGTTGTTTCCTCTGGCTTAAACCTTATGTTCATTCCAAGTTGGATCCTATAAGCAAAAGTTGTATTTTTTTTTGGGATATAGTTTACAACACAAAGGCTACAGGTGTCTTAAACCTCAAACTAGGCGAGCATATATATCTCGACACGTGCAGTTTGATGAAACTGCATATCCATTTCACACTATCTCTCAACCAGCTGCTGCAGTTCAAGACTCTAATTCACCTGCTATGGATTTACATTTCTCTATTCCTCTGTCGAGAATCTCCTCAGAATCTCAATCTTCAAGATCCATCATTGGAGCATCACAAAATCCTGATTCTTCCAGTTCTGTCTCACCTTCTGATCTTATTGGAGCAGCATCGCATCCTACATCTTCAAGTACTTCATCTTCTCAAGTACCTCCCAGTAACATTCATCCCATGGTGACTCGTTCCAAAGTTGGCATATATAAGCCTAAAGTCTATGTCGCTACCAAGCATCCCCTTCCATTAGATATTGATGTTGTTCCCACTACATATCTGCAAGCATCTAAACATGTTCATTGGCGATCTGCTATGCAAGATGAATTTAATGCCTTGCAATCTACAAGAACTTGGACATTAATACCTCCATCCCCTACTCAAAATGTTGTCGGTTGCAAGTGGGTTTTTAGAGTTAAGAAGAAGCCTGATGGTACTGTTGACAAATTTAAAGCACGCTTGGTTGCAAAGGGGTTTCATCAACAGGAAGGCATTGATTTTCAAGAGACTTTTAGTCTCGTGGCTAAACCCGTCACAATTCAAGTCCTTCTATCACTAGCAGTACAATTTAATTGGTTTTTGAACCAATTAGACATTAGTAACGCTTTTCTTCATGGGGATTTAAAGGAATTTGTGTACATGCAGCAACCTCCTGGCTTCATTGATTCCAGCAAGCCTCATCATGTCTGTCAATTGCGAAAATCTCTGTATGGCCTCCAATAGGCCCCACGAGCTTGGTTTGAAAAACTTTTTCAAGCTCTCCTATAATTTGGATTTGTGCAATCTTCTTTTGATGCTTCATTATTTGTTCTTAAAGATCCCCCTCCAGTCATTGTTCTTGTTTATGTCGATGACATCTTAGTCACTGGCCTGAGTTCATCTATGTGTAATCAGTTCATTCAAAAGCTCAGTACTTTTTTTCCAGTTAAAGATCTTGGTCCACTGCATTATTTTCTGGGATTAGAAGTTCATCGGTCTGCTGAAGGTCTCTTTCTTCATCAAACCAAATATCTACTGGATCTTCTGAGAAAAACTAATATGGATTGTGCTAAGCCTTGTTGTACTCCTCTTGGTTCCACAAAACTTGATCACACGGGTCCTCTTCTCTCCAATCCTACTGAGTACAGATCTATTGTTGGTGGTCTACAATACTTAACATGGACCCATCATGACCTTTCATTTGCAGTAAATCAAATCTGCCAGTTCATGCATGCGAGTCGAGAACAACACTTGCAGGCTGCAAAACGAGTTCTTCGTTATCTCAAAGGAACTATATCTGAAGGAATTTGGTTCAAAAAGGGTTCTTTTCATCTCACTGCTTTCTCAGATGCAGACTGGGCATGATGTACATTTGATCGACGTTCCACCAGTGGTTATTGTGTCTTTCTGGGTTCAAATCTTATTAGTTGGAGTGCAAAGAAACAATCCACAATTGCACGTCATCTACTGAAACTGAATACCGGTCCCTAGCCCACACAGCTGTAGAAATTACATGGATCTGTAAAATTTTTTGTGATATTGATTTCTCTCTCTCATAAGTTCCCAATCTCTGGTGTGACAATATTTCTGCAATCTCCCTAGCCTCTAATCTAGTGTTTCATGCCAGAACAAAACACATCGAAATCGACTATCACTATATTCGAGAATTAGTCTTGGCTAAGCTCATCAAGGTTCAGTTTGTTTGCAGCCAAGATCAATTGGCTAATGTTTACACCAAGTCTTTGTCCAAAGGCCGGTTTCGTTATCTCAAATCCAAGCTTCCACTTGGTTCAATGGTTGATCCCAAGCTCAGCTTGAGGGGGTGTATTAAGGTAGATACTGAAATAGATAAGCAAGCTATTAGTTAGCTAAAACTGTAAACCTTTAGTTGTGGTTATTGTGCAATTAGTTGTAGGAGCTAAGGCATTAAGGGCATTAATGCATCAATCCTTTAGCTATATATACTTCTTATACTGATGTAATTATTCAAGAAAGTAAATATCATTTTTTTATAGAGAGATTTTCTGTTTCTATATAATTTCCATCAAAGTTGTGATCTTTCCAAGTTCTAAGAGATCCCATAGGACTGTAATTTGTAAAAAAATAACCCATCATTTCTGATCGTTAAAAATTCATAAAATAAAAACTAAAAAAATTGAACTAAAACCCAATAAAAATTAATCAAATAGCTGAATATTTTACCCTGATACGGCAGGACTGTCATGGTCGTGAGGAGGAAAATTGGGAGCTTGGAGGTCGAACTGTTCATTGGATGAGGAGGAGGGAATTATTTTGGATAGCGATGAAGTTCGAAAGATATTACGTAATGGTTGTGGCGGGTCAGCAATGAAATGGAGAAATTTTTCATTATGCGCGCTCGTATTAGTAATACCACGTGTCACTATAGGAGTGGACGGAAGTTTTATTGTTTATGCATTTTAGCACAATTGTTCCGTTATTTGTATAATGACACATAATTTACTACCTTATGTTTTGGACATAGTAGAAAACTCTGATGAGATGAGACGACGTGTCCAACTATTCATTTGGATTAGAAGTTTTCTTAAATAACTTAAATGTCTTCTAGATAAAATGTTTCTGAGTTTTAGAAGCACTTAAAGCACATCAAGTAAGATGCATTAGTGATACCTTCTTGTTTCATACTTCATTAGTATTTTTACAAAGATTAATTTATTAAATATTTTCAGTTATTTTAAAATAAGTTTTCAACAAACGAACTTTATATTTTTCTACCTTTTCTTTTTATATTATCCTTATTTGCTTTTCAAAGAAATAGGTAGTTATAGTATTGTTGCTGAAATAGCATAAGTAGTTGATTGTCGGATACTATCGGTCCATTTTAGTTTTTCCTATTTTTGGTCCGTTAGGTCTATTGGGCTTGTAGTATATTCCCTTTTACCCATTGGACCTGTACTATTTTTGCTAATCATTTGTAAGGTTTTTATTTTTTATTTTTTTATTTTATCTAAATGATCTTTGAGATTGACAGACTTCTTCACTTTGATTCTTGATATTTGAAATTAACAGAAGTGGTCTCTGAGATTGTCCACATCAATTATTTTGGTCATTCCATGAAAAATCTCCATTAAATAAGAATAACATGACAAACATACCCTCAATTCTAACAAATTATTTTGGCCCGTTGTTTGTTAACTTGACAGTAATTTTGTCATTTTAGTCTTTATTTAACAGAATTTTCACAAAATGACCAAAATAATAGATGGTGGACAAACTCAGGGACTGTTTTTATTGATTTCAAATTTCAAATACCAAAATGAGAAGTTATGTTAGTCTTAAAATACCATTTTAGCTAAAATTTCTTTTTTGAATGTGCATTAGAAACTTTTTCTTCTTATTTACTTTTTGAGATCTATTATTGGCATTTTAAAATTTAATTCTACACTTTTCATAAGAGTATTTATCTTTCTAAATAAAAATTTTAAAGTGCATAATTTGATTTTTTTAGAGTGTCAATAATAAATATCTTGTTTTTAAAAATTATTTATGCATATATGATAAAAATATAATTGTAGGAATAAGGAGTGATTTCTTTTTTAGGAGTCGAATAATGTCCCAAATGATTAGTACCTCTACACGACCCACTACCACCCCTACTTCAAAGTTGCTCTAGAAGTGGGCACAATAACCCATCAATTGGTGATTCCAACCAGGTAACAGATTTGGTTCAGTTCGGTTTCTTTTATAAAATTTGCTCTAATCAGAATAAGTTGTTGATACATGATGAGTTATGTTTTGTGAACTTAAGCATAACCACTTTGAGTAAAATAAATGTGCTCCTTGTACGCAGTCGAGTGCTTTTTTGCATATCAAATTAAATTACAATTCAACTTAAAAAAAAAATTACTTGTATGAAAAGAAAACAAGAAGATATTGCTAATGCTTTCTTTTGCTTTCCGTGACGGCTTTTGGTGATGTCTACTTTTATCTACTACATTTGTAATGGCTTGTGTCAACCAAATGATACAAAATGCAAGCAAACATGCCAAAAACGACTCCGTTTTGCCTTCGCTTCTAACGAAGGGATTGCCGACTGCGTACCGAATATGAAAAATAATCGCGACTGCAGAGGATACAAACCCCATAAACAACGGCTGAGCACCTTTTTATTTATTTTGTTCATTTAATTTCAATTTTTGTCATTGACTAATTCGAAATTTTTACAGCCCTTAAGAGTACGAGCGCCATCGATATGATCACTGACTGAAACAAACATAGAAAGTCTCCTCCGCTAGTCCAATCCAGCTGCTTTTGCAGAAAGCCAAAGATTTCAGCTGCAAATTCGAATTCGCAATGTTCGCCAAGCGGCTTTTGCAGAAAGCCATAAACAACTCTCAGGTAAAGTCGTATTCCAAGCATTCGATCGCCGCCACTTTTTTCTGTCATTTTTTTTTTCGAATTTTTCAGTTTAGCTTCGTATTTTGCGTTTTTTGATTAAAATTCCGTTTCTTTTTTGTTGGGGTGGATTAAATTCCGATGCTTTATCTTGTTAGTATCCTGGAAAACTGGATATTGCATCAATGGATTATTTTTTATGATTTTTTTTATTCATTTCTGTGTATTTTTATGCTCGAATACCTGGATTGTATGAATTTGGAGCCTCTTAACCATTTTTCTTAAATTGGGATTTTGTATTGGAAATTGTTGGTTTCAGCATAATTTGCCGTAAGGGAGTTTGACGGCGGAAGACTTGGACCTGCGAGTTGCAGTTCACTATGGCATCCCATCCACGGCCTCCATTCTTGCTTTCGACCCGATTCAGCGCCTTTTGGCCATTGGAACATTGTGAGTTAAAATGCACCTACTTTCTTCTTTCTTCTTTTTTGTTTATGCTGTTTTCGTTGTGCGAATTGATCAAAAACCAATCTACTTAGCATATTTGGTGAAGCATGCTTGTAGATACTGCAATGAAGGCATGAGATTACGTACATCTATTTGGAGATATGATATCCCTGCATCACACAAATCACATTGTTGTTTTGATTCTTATTTGTTTGGTAGGGATGGGAGGATTAAAGTGATCGGTGGTGATGGTATTGAAGGACTCTTTATATCCCGAAGCAACTGCCTTACAAATACATTGAGGTTTCTGTGTGCACCATTCATTCCCCTTGTTTAGTTACAAGGATAAAGTATCAATAGTAAAGTGTTTAGGGTGAAACATTTTTTTTTTTTTGAATGATATATTTATATAACAACGATTATCGACAATCGTCATCAAATAGTGCCCTGTCTATCCCTTCTTTTTTTTTTTTTTTTCTCCCGCAAAGCGTCATCTAATAGTGCTCCGGCTATGGAGAATCTATGGAGAATTGGTGTTTTAGTAAGTCATTGACCAAATTTATTCACAACAACAACGATTATCGACAATCGCTCGGAAGTTTAAGAACTATTTAGCCCAAATGGGAAAAAGAAAAGAAAAAATCAATAAGATCGAAAAAGGAAAACAAGGCTCATCCAGTGAAAACATACACAGAAAGGATGAAAGCCAAAAGCGAACGTCAAAGAAAAGTCATTTTCCCAAACCCATTTACATGCATTTCCTCACTTTCCCATTTCCCTTTTCCAATTTTCTGTAATTATTTCCAAGAACAACTAATTCTTTCCAAACTCCAATCAAGAAAATTAAAAAATTGTATGTAAATTTAAGCTTTACCTGTAGATTAGCAACAACAAAAGCAAACTGATTCCAACAATCTGGAGAAATTTGGGTTTTAAGGATTTGAGTTAACTGAAATTGATTTGGATGAGCAGCTTTTTGTTTCGATTCATGGTGTAGCACAAATGAAGAGGTGGAGAAGTACGGAACGAAATGGTGAGAAAATTTGGTTGAGCAGTATTCCGTATCAATTCGCAGTGGAAGAGGAAGGAAACAATGCAGATGAGAGGAATGAAGCGGTGCTGCAAATCTCCCTAGCATGCCATGCGTGCAATTTGGGAATTTCACTGTAAAAGCACAAAAAGTAGGAACACATAAACATTAAAATAAGGGCAAAAATGTCAAAACACTGTTGCTTATGAACAGTGTTTTCTCATTCCGCTTTAGTATATATAAATTTCAACGAATCATTCCGACGTGTACGAGAAACGGAAGCACATGAATTTACTTGTGGGGATGAATAGTTTTATTGTTGGTCGTGACACAAGTTCAAACCTCCTTGGATTTTCCGCTTCGTGTATATAAAAAATGAGAGACTTGTTGAGTTGTTTAGGTGATAAGAAGCGATAAGATCCTCTCCAGATCTTCGACTAAGGATCCTTACTGCTCGCAATTGGTGTAGACCTTGTAACCCTCGCCCTCGTGACCAACAGGGCCTTTTTCCTTCTGCCACAACCGACAAGTGGGCGGGGATCAAATCGGCCACCAGCAGGCCAGTCTTTATCCGTTTGTTTGGAGCTACAGTGGTAGTGGTGGTTTCCTCTGGGTCAACGTTGGAGGCGTTGATGAATTCTCAGTGTGTGAGACCCAAAAGTTCTTTTTCATCTTTGATTTCCAAGAAGAAGAGGAAGGGAAAGAAAGATTTATGAACGGAGGATTTGAATCGAATGGCCAAGATAACTTGGTCCTCAGAATTTGAAGCACACAGATTCGGAGAGAATTCTTACCTGATAAGAACCAATTTTTTATCTCCCATGCCATGTGGTAGCCACCACAAGCATCATTGGCTAGTCAAAAATGCCAATTGGCAACACCAGAATCTGCTAAAAGATTATCACTTGCAGCAACACGTCATGAACCAATTTTCTCTATTCAAGCAGCTCAGCAGCTTGTTTGTTGAACATTTATCATGCCAACCAAATTCTCTCGTCACTAAAAGTCAAGGCAAATTTGTCACCCACCTTTCAACTTCACTGTTACCAGCAATCACTTGGAACTGCACCCCTTTATTATTTGGTCCCATCATCACACACACTAGTGGCTAGTTTAATGACAGGGACTGAAACATATTGAGATCAAGATCAAGTTCAAGTTAGTCCAATTAGAATTCCAATTTAGTGAGACGTCTTAGGTTTGAGGCACATTGATAGCAATGACGTAATATATTTATGTTAAGTTTAATACTTAGTAAATAGTTGATTCATTGTATGGCCTAACCCAGCCACCCTTCCCTTAGCAGATTATCCCATCCACTTAAATGCAGAATATTGTTGTATCAAAAAGTTCTTTCAGCACCCTCCCTTAGAGTAGATTATCCCCTCCGTTTAGACGTGGAATATAATTGTTCAAACAAATAGTCTTTTATGCAACGAAAATGCTACCTCAAGTTAATTGTACACTGTTGCGTGGAAGAATAATATGGTAACCACTTTTGAACTCAATAGTGGTCTATTTACTTACCAAGAATGAGAATGCAAAATGTAGGTATAATTCTAACTCTTGACATCATGCGTTTACTAAAATACAAGGAATAAAAAGGTAATGGAATCCCTTGTTAAACAAACGTGTTCCGTTTATAATTTCAATCATGTATCATTACAAATACAGACTTGCTTATTCCGTACTTGAACAATGTCACGTATATATCACTTTCATATCATTATCATATCCACAAAGTAAGCAAGCATGCCCTAAATTACAACTACAACAAGAATTTTCTATCGATCGAAATAGTCCAGTCCAAGTCAAACCACAACTCACAAGTAAAGAATCCATCCTTCACACATTTTTTTTGTACTTAGCCATTTAAGATTTAACAACTTCCCCCACTTGCAACATTGCCTACTTGGAAAGACATCCCACCCCCGAGGGGAGTATTTATCAAATATAGCAAAAATTTAAGGGAGTTTTAACAGATCACTCCCGGTACTGTTCACTTTTAATGAAAAACCACATTTATACATTTCCCTGGTACTATTCATTATACCTTTAAAAAAGGCTTTTCATTAAAAGAGGAGTTTTTTTGGATTTTTCGTTAATTTTCCTAAAAATTAACCCTTAATTTCAAAAATGTCAATTTTTATAAAAACTTTCAAATACATCCAAATTTTCACTTAAATAGACACAAATACCTCAAATTAAAAATTAAATAAATTAAAGATTTTTTAGCTACCATCGCCTCAAGCTCCGATCCAACTCACCTTTGCTTCTACACTCCACCACCACAACCCTATCCCCTTCAACCCGCTCATCACCGACATTGAGCGCTGTCATGGTTATCATAAGTTGGAGTAGCAGAATTTCAATCATGCCTACTAATATCATTTTTAGTTTTAAATATAAAAATAGTTTTTAAAGTTAATCCACATGTCGTTATATGATTGTATTTGTGAGACCCACGTGACGCCACATCATCACACTAACAGAGCAATTGACATATTTTTCATGAAAAAACTGAAATGATCACGATGGACAAATTCGAAGAAAGACTAAACTGATTCACGATAGACAAATTCAAGAACACTATTATTGATATCATTAATTGTTAAGGACCAAATTAAGATGTTATGTCAATATCACGAATCATTTTGGCTAAAAAACCTCTAATTTATTTTATTGTTAAATTTGAGAGTATTTGTATCTATTTCGGTGAAATTTTGGATATATTTTATAAAAAGTGACATTTTTTAAATTAAAGGTTAATTTTTTGCAATATTTGATAAATACTCCCTCGAGGGTTTAACCTCCCCATCCACCCACCCACAAAAACCCAAAAACGATGACTTGGCTTCACACAATCCCTCCACTTGGCAGCCTCGAGAGATGTTGCCCCGTCATCCAGGAGAAATTTTTAATTGTGACGGAAATATAAATGGTACATCAAACATTTTTATGTAAATAATAAGAAATTTTATTTTTTAAGTTATTAATTTTTAACATTAATATCCCACCATTTTAACATTAATATCCCACCATTTAAATACTAACACATACCGAAAAAATCTCTCGTCATCCGGGTAGCCCAAAACAAAACCTCGACGATATACAGTGGCGGGAACGATCAGATTGCTTACAGGTAAGTCAATTGCTTGCTTTTACTCGCTTTGGAGTATTTCGAAACGAAAATGTGTACCTTTTTTCCGTTGTATTGTATAAATCTGTGGATTGAATGGCTATATTTCCAGGGAATGGTGTTTGTTTGCTGAATTGATGTGTTTGGTGCAGGAAATTATGCTCTTGTAATAACTTCGCGGACGGAAGTTGGGACTTATCTCGGCTTCCCTGTTTATCGAGTGACCTCGATGAGGTTTCTGTCCTGCAACGATGGTATGAAGAATTCAACTGCTCAGGAGGTAAGGGTTTTGATTCTTTTCATTCGTTAGCGAGTTTGAGAGTGACTTGGGATGTTTTAATTTTGTGATGTGTTTGTGCAGAAAAAGGATGAGGCGTACTTCATGGCTCTGTTGAAAACAGTCCAATCAACTCCGGGGCTGTACTTCTCGTACAAGACTGATATAACACTAGAGTAAATTCTTATGTCTATTTATGTATCTATTCGGTAAAGTGTTGTATTTGTTTATTTAATCATATATAATTGATCATTTCTACCAGCTTTCAAAGAAGATGTAAGTTAGTGGAAGGATGGATGGCCAAACCAATATGGAAGCAGGTTAGTTGGAAATTTGGAATATTGGGTTTATCAGGACCTGATTAGTTCTTAAAAGTGATTCATGTTATATACATCAGGTGCATATAAGCATACATATTGTCCACGCGTTTAGTTTGCTAGGCATCCTCAACTCTTTCCAATTCAGAGGGTTAATGGGGAAAGAAAGGAAAACCGCCCTAAGGATTTGCCAAGTTCTGTGTTTTTGTGCACTATACTTATCTTTTGTTCTCAAGGTGAAAGTTTCAACTCCATAAAGATGCCTTCTCAGTTCATATCCTTGAAAACATGCCATCCTTTGTGCAATTTTTTGGTTGTCAAGAGATTCTCCCTTCCCCTTTATCCAAAGGATTTTTTTGTCAGCACTAGAAGACGAGAAAGCATGAGTATCGAGTCAACTGACAGACCATATCATATGGATGTTTATCAGTTTTTTCTCTTAATGCCATTTTAGTTCCTATCAAATGTTTACTTTACACATTATGATCTATGACTAGTAATTGCTTGGTAGTTTTTAACATTATTTGTGTTTTCAGGCTGACCCTCGATTTGTTTGGAACAGAAATCTTTTGGACGAACTTATCAAGTATAAGGTTAGACTTTCCATCTTTGAGGTCATAATTAGTTAAACAATTTGAAGTATTTTCTGGCTTGCCGCCACTTAATGTATATCTTTAAGGAAGAACAGCATTTCCAAAAGTCATCAGTTCTTCGCGCACAAATTTTTTTGCTAAGGCTCATTAATTTTCTCATGGCAGCTTGATGGGTTCATTATTCCTCTAGTACAAGGAAATATCCTGAATTTACTGATTTCTTATGTGTATGTCCCTCTCTCTCTCTCTCTCTCTCTCTCTCTCTCTCTCTCTCTCTCTCTCTCTCTCTCTCCCCCCTCTCCCTCCCTCTCTCTCTAAGATTGAGATTCAGAGTTTAGGTGAGTAATATGTTATGGTGTTCCTTGACCTACATTTAAGCTTCCAGACTGCACAGCTAAAGCTAAAGGGCTTATCTGCCACACTTACGATAGTCTCAAGGAGGTGTACCCGGCGTCTAGGCACAATCTTATAGAGATGATTGATTCTTGTAGTCACTTTTGTGTCTGTATCTGCATGTTTTGAAGGACTTAAACATGAAACACTGTAATGTGGTCGTGTAGGGACAAGAATGTGGAGAAGAGGAGCCAACCTTGATGGAGATGTTGCTAATTTTTTTGAAACTGAGCAGTTGGTGGAGATTGAAGGTTTCCAGCCCTCATTATTGCAGGTAATTCTCATATGAAGGTTCAGAAAAGAAATGTGTGCTGAGGTATTATTGTGTCGGAGTATTTTTAGTTACTATCATGTTTCTTTGCCTAAATAGGACATTAGCTTATATCATGGTGTCATTGTACATGTGATCAACTAAGTTGGCTGAGGATTAAACATTTGAGAAAAGTATATTCTGTTGAGAATGAATCCCATATTGATGGGAGGAGGGACCTTGCATGAGCTTATAAGTAAATTGGGCTAATCCCCATATTGCGAATTGGTTTTATGGTGGAACCTCAACTTTCTTCACATTCTGCCCTCCTTGTTGATGTGAGAAATATCATAATTGTAGAACTTTGTCATTCTTTTCTGAGGTTTATGGACTGCCCCTCACATAGATGAACTTTTGTACAGTTTAGCAAGGATAGATTGGTTTTTGCCAACTTATATACATTTAGAGAACTTTTTCAATACTATACTTTCTAAATATGCAGGCGCTGTTTCACTATTAACCCTTAAGACTGATAATAGATTGGAAGTTTTGTCATAAATTAATTCAAGAAGATTTATTTATCTATTCCTTTTTTCTGAATAAAGACCCTCCATAATACTTTTGATATGTTTTTCAGATTCGAGGTTCAATTCTGCTTCTTTGGTAGCAAATTGTTGACTTGAGCTATAAACCACAACTTTGGTAGCAAATTTGTTGCCAGAGATGCAAATCCATCCCTTTTTACTCTTTTCTGGCTTCATGGTACAGTTCTTGTTAGAGTAGTTTCTGAATTTTCCCAATCTACTTACAGAAAAATGTTGTGGAGCGCCATTTTTTTAATCTTTCCCAAAGATATGTAGAGACAATGGCAATAGACCTAACTGATAAAGTAAGGGTTTCTTCTCTTTTTAACTTTTTACTTTGAATTTAACAATCCTTGCACACTGGTTCACCTTTACGTTAAGCGGAAAAGTTTGCAATTTTTTCCCTTCAAATTGTGTTTGTACGACATGCTCACCTTTTTGTGGCTCTGGGATTCGCTAAATAAGCAATGGTGTCTATAACTCGTCCCAGCTGATTGCTTGTGCTACACAAGTTTTACTGTTTTTTTAATTGTATGCAAAGTATATGTTGTTTCATATATTTCCAGTTATAAGTTTTCCATTTATTGTTATTTGTAGCATGGTGATGAAGGTCAACTAAGCGCGGCATTTTCTGCTGAAATGCAAAATCTACCAAATGTGAGGTGACAATTTGCATACTTATGTATGCAACTATGTTGGCTCCCAACTGAATCATTTTCCCACTTCAAGTGGATTCCTTTTTTGTTTTCGAGGTTGCTTAAAACGAAGTCAGTTCTATTGGTTGGCATTGGGAACAATGTCAGAAATGAGATTTTGTTCTCAACTTACTAGTGTTTTTTTAGCAGATACGTTTCATTTGACTTTCAACATGTATGTGGTAACTCAAACTTTGAAAACCTAAAGGTTCTATACGAGCAGATCTCAGAGCAATTTGAAAAGCAAGGGTAATGAAAGCGTAATATCTGATTGATTAAGTATGCCAAAATCCAGGTATGCTGGCTATATGTAATACTGTTTTTAATCAAAACTGTTGCAGCTGAGCAGATACTTCCTTGTAGATGCAAAAGGCAATATACTGGAGGAGCAGAACTGCATTGATTGCCTTGATTGAACGAATGTTACTCAGGTTTCTAAGAAAATTACGTAGTGTGATTGATCTTAATAATTTGTGCCAATATGATATACCATATGCCATTGCATGAGTAAACTGAGATTTGACATTCAATTGTTTACTGGTTCTTTATTTTGTAGAGTTGCTTGGCCCAGAAGTCTCTAGATGCACATTTGCAGAGGACTGGAGTGCTGGATTCTTCTGAAAGCATTTCTATGTTTGCTGAAGACTACCAAACATTTAGAGCATGTATGGAATTATTCGTGTCATGTATCCTGTCTTTCATAAATGATCAAACGATGTCTATAATAAGTTGTTATACTTATTCTCAATTCCGGGTCTTTGGTGTGGGCAGAGCAAGGTGACGAGATAAGCCTCGACTACGCAAGGACGTATGCCCTTTAAAGGGGACCTTGTTAGGTAAATTCAACTGTATAGTATGACTTGAATCATGGACAATATATATAATGTAATTATGTATATATGTCCTTTTTTTTTCGAATCATATTCTGGATCCATATGACCGCAGATAAGGGAAGCAGACATTTGGAGGAATAATTAAAGATGGGATGAGTGCTCTTTCAAGATATTTTTTGAATAACTTTCAGGATGGCATTCGGCAGGTAAACTGCCTCTCTTTGGCAAATAGAGTATTCCTCATCTGCATGAAAGCAAGTGACTTCCATGTATATATACTTGCTTAAAATAAGTTTCAAATTTGTTCAGGATGCTATGGATCTTGTCAGTGGCCGCTATACAGTTAGAAGGGATATTTCACCATCCCGGGCTGAATCTTTTTCTGTAAGTACAATGAATCTTTCAAAGAAATTGAAGTGCCTGAAGTCCTTGTCTGGTTTTATATATCCCTTTGTTATCAGTTATACAGATCCTGGGTAGGATAATAAAATCTTGGTCCATCTTCTCGGAACCTTGATATTTTAGTTTATGATTGTTTGGGGAGTACCCTTATGGTTCAATTGCATCTCATGAAAGTAAATTTAGTAAGAAATCATGCCTGCTTTAGCAAATACGAGCGATATTTAATGGATATGCCTTTAGTAACGAAAGGAGAAGTAAAATTCAATTCTAGCAAACTTGATGTTTGATTGGCCAGCTTGGCATGTAATCATCATTAGTTGGCCACGAATGTAGGTAACTTGTGCCGCTTTTAAAATGCCTTCACTGAATCTATGGTCAAGTTTTAAGTGAGAACAAACATTGCAGTATCTACCGGTGGCATCAGCTTTGCTAATTGGAGGGTTGACAATGACATCCGTCACACTTCAACAAGGTATTACTATTATTTGGTTTTGCCTGAAATCTTAGCGCATGGAACTTTGTTCTCAGGTGCGAGTTCTATTCAATATTCACTAAGACCTGAGAAATTTCGAATCCAACTTGCAGCGGGTCGAAATGCCCAACAGTATATGTCTTCTGTACTTTGTGCTGGAGTGACTGCTGGAGTAGTGGCAGCGGTTAAAGCTAACGGAAGGTAATTCTGTTTGAGACCTCGCTTGTGCAGACTAGTGTAACATTATTCTGAACTCGTTCATTCAAACCGTAGAGTTACTGTGTTGCAAGCCTTGTAATTTCGTAGCTAATATTTACAAGTGACTTGTGGTTAAAATGGTAAACTTGTTTTACTGTTTCCAGTTGTAGTCGATAAATTACTTAGTACATTTGGCCACGAGTTCAAATGGCAGTACAACCACGAGTTCAAATGGCAGTACAATTGGATATGGTACACTCCTTTAGACATTGTTTTGATAATCTTATGCAATCCAAACAAATCAAAATCGCTCTGAATTTACTCCAAATCTAACATGATTTCAACCGGACGAAATACTTACAATGCCCTTTTGTATTTACTGATGCCAGTTAAACTCATCTCTTCTTGATCATTGTTAACTTTGCAAACCCTGACTAGAAATAAATATAAAAAGCAGTACGAGAAAATCTGTCCTATCGCCAGTTGTTCTCTCGTGTAAAACCTAGTTCTATACAAACTTTGATTGAAAACTTTTTAGGGGGATGACAAGGATCAGACTGTTGTGGACTAAGTTGGTCTGACTATTCCAATCCTCCTAAGCTGTGGACTAAAGTTGGTCTGACTCTTCTGTTCCTTCTAAGCTGTGGACTAAGTTGGTCTATCTTAATATCTGTGGCCATCCAATCTCAAGTGTTTTTTTCTTACATGTGATAAGATTTCTTAATTTCTGTTGGCTAACTATTAAGTTGGTCTATCTTAATTTCTGTGGCCATCCAATCTCAAGTGCTTTTTCTTACATGCGATAAGATTTCCTAATTTGTGTGTGATAACTACTAAGTTGGTCTATCTTCATTTCTGTGGCCATCCAATCTCAAGTGTATTTTCTTACATGTGATAGGATTTCTTCTCTTTTGTGCTTCTGTGCAAATTAAACTTTGGTTTTCTGGTTTTCCATTTGTCTTTGAACAATGATGGAGCATTCACATACTATTCGTAATCTGGTTTTGTTGAAATTCCTGCATGGCTTCTTTCTCTTATTCTTATGCATGATGAGCACATGTCCAGAACCTGCAGCATTTCCCAGCCCTACCCTGCTTGGAAACATATCTGATCGCTTGGCTTTGCTAGACTTCAAGAAAAGAATAACTGAAGATCCCCTCAGTGTCATGAGCTCGTGGAATCATTCCATCCACTTCTGCAGTTGGGTAGGCATTACATGCCACCGTGCCACCCAAAGAGTCTTGATTCTGGACCTGCAAGATAAACAGTTGGTAGGCTCCATTCCACCTTCCATTGGGAATCTTACTCGTCTAATTGAAATAAGGTTGGGAATCAACAAGTTTCATGGTGAAATTCCTCAAGAATTGGGTCGACTGCGGACCTTGGAAAGTCTCAACCTGTCTTTCAATTCTTTAGGCGGGAAACTTCTGACTAATATGTCCCACTGTACACAACTCAGATTTTTGGATCTTTTTTCCAATAAGATTATTGGGTCAATTCCACGCCAACTCAGTTCATGGTTGAGTTTGACTGTTCTACAACTTGGAAAAAATAATCTCAGTGGAACCATCCCAAGTTGGATAGGAAACTTTTCTTCTTTGAGGGGTCTTGCACTTGGCCGCAACAATATTCAAGGAAGCATACCAAATGAGCTCGGGCATATAACCACCTTGGAGATATTCTTAGTTGGGCAGAATAATTTGTCTGGTATGTTCCCTTCTTCAATATTAATATTTCTTCCATATACAAGTTCAGTGTTGCTAAAAACCAAGTACATGGAGAGCTACCACCAAATCTCGCCATCTTGTTTCCTAATCTCGTAGAATTTTACTGTGACATAAACAATTTCACAGGAAATATTCTTGTATCATTGTCAAATGCATCTAGACTTCAGGTGATTGATTTTGCTAAAAATGGCTTCACGGGGACAGTCCCTGGAGAAAGTCTCGGAAGCTTGCGAAGCTTAATTTTCCTAAACGTTTTTGACAATCGACTGGGAAATGGAAAACTTGGTGATATGAGTTTTCTCAATTTCTTGACTAATTGTACTAGTCTTCAATATATGGGTCTTAGCACTAATCGTTTTGGGGGAGAAATCCCGAGATCCATAGCCAATCTTTCGACCCAACTATAAGGTCTTTATCTTGGGTATAATTTGTTACATGGAAGCCTCCCAACCATAGAAAGTCATCGGTATGATCACTGAAACAAACATAGAAAGTCTCCTCCGCTAGTCCAATCCAGCTGCTTTTGCAGAAAGCCAAAGATTTCAGCTGCAAATTCGAATTCGCAATGTTAGCCAAGCGGGTTTTGCAGAAAGCCATAAACAACTCTCAGGTAAAATCGTATTCCCAAGCAATCGATTGCCGCCACTTTTTTCTGTCATTTTTATTTTTTTATTTTTTTTTTAATTTTTCAGTTTAGCTTCGTAATTTGCGTTTTTTGGTTAAAATTCCATTTCTTTTTTGTTGAGTTGGATTAAATTCCGATGCTTTATCTTGCTAATATCCTGGAAAATTGGATATTGCATCAATGGATTATTTTTTATGATTTTTTTTTATTCATTTCTGTGTATTTTTATGCTCGAATACTTGGATTGTATGAATTTGGAGCCTCTTGGTATCGACATTTGGACTGATACTTACCCTTTTTTTTTAATTGGGATTTTGTATTGGAAATTGTTGGTTTCAGCATAATTTGCCACACGGGAGTTTGACCTGCGAGTTGCAGTTAACTATGGCATCCCATCCACGGCCTCCATTCTTGCTTTCGATCCGATTCAGCGCCTTTTGGCCATTGGAACATTGTGAGTTAAAATGCACCTACTTTCTTCTTTCTTCTTTCTTCTTTTTTGTTTATGCTGTTTTCGGTGTGTGAATTGATCGAAAACCAATCTACTTAGCATTGCGCACGGTCGTGTGGTTAATGAGGTATCTTCCTGCTAAGCATTGCTGTTCCACATTTCTCGGAATTGCTATTCGTTTCTGTGGTACCAAAACGTTTGAATGGTAAAATAAAACCTCGACGATATACGGAGTGGCGGGAACGATCAGATTGCTTACAGGTAAGTCAATTGCTTGCTTTTACTCACTTTGGAGTATTTCGAAACGAAAATGTGTAACTTTGTTTCCGTTGTATTGTATAAATCTGTGGATTGAATGGCTATATTTCCAGGGAATGGTGTTTGTTTGCTGAATTGATGTGTTTGGTACAGGAAATTATCTCGGCTTCCCTAAATATGCAGACACTGTTTCACGATTAACCCTTAAGACCGATAGTGATAGTAGATTGGAAGTTTTGTCATAACTTAATACAAGAAGATTTAATTATCTATTCCTTTTTTTTTTTCCGAATAAAAACCCTCCATAATACTTTTGATATGTTTTTCAGATTCGAGGTTCAATTCCGCTTCTTTGGGAGCAAATTGTTGACTTGAGCTAAAAACCACAACTTAGGATTATTACTCATGAGTGGACGGTAATTTGTTGCTAGAGATGCAAATCCATCCCTTTTTACTCTTTTCTGGCTTCATGGTACAGTTCTTGTTAGAGTAGTGTTCTGAATTTTCCCAATCTACTTACTAGTGTTTTTGCTGCAGATACGTTTCATTTGACTTTCATCATGTATGTGGTAACTCAAACTTTGAAAACCTAAAGGTTCTATACGAGCAGATCTCAGAGCAATTTGAAAAGCAAGGGTAATGAAATCGTAATATCTGATTGAATTAAGTATGCCAAAATCCAGGTATGCTGGTTATATGTAATACTGTTTTTAATCAAAACTCTTCCAGCTGAGCAGATACTTCCTTGTAGATGCAAAGGGCAGTATACCGGAGGAACAGAAAGGGATTGTCAGATCAAACTGCATTGATTGCCTTGATAGTACAAATGGTACTCAGGTGTGTAAGAAGATTACCTAGCATGATTGATCTTAATAACTTGTGCTAATAGCATGAGTAAACTGAGATTTGACATTAAATTGTTTACTGCTTCTTTATATTGTAGAGTTACTTGGCCCAGAAGTGTCTAGATGAACAGTTGCAGAGCACTGGAGTGCTGGATTCTTCTGAAAGCATTTGTGTGTTTGCTGAAGACTATCAAACATCTAGAGCGTGTATGGAATTCTTTGTGTCATGTATCCTATCTTTCATAAATGATCAAACGATGTCTAAAATAACTTGTTATACTTATTCTCAATTCTGTTGCTTTAGTGTGGGTGGAGCAAGGTGATGAGATAAGCCTCGAGTATGCAGGGACGTATGCCCTGAACGGGGACCTGGTTAGGTAAATTCAACTGTATAGTATGACTTGAATCATGGACAATATATATATATATATATACATACATACATATATATATATATATATATATCCTTTTTTTTGGAATCATATTCCAAATCCATATTACCGCAGATATGGGGAGCAGACATTTGGAGGAATAATTAAAGACGGGATGAGTGCTCTTTCAAGATATTTTTTAAATAACTTACAGGAAGGCATTCGGCAGGTAATCTGCCTCTCTTTCACAAAGATAGAGTATTGCTCATCTGCATGAAAGCAAGTGACTTCTATTTATATATAGTTGCTTAAAATAAGTTTCAAATTGTTCAGGATGCTATGGATCTTATCAGTGGTCGCTATATAGTTAGAAGGGATATTTCATCATCCCGGGCAGAATCTTTTTCTGTAAGTACAATGAATCTTTCAAAGAAATTGAAGTGCCTGAATTCGAATTCTGCTTTTATATATTTGTTATCAGTTATTCAGATCCTGTTACAGTTGGTAGGATAAAAAAATCTTGGTTCATCTTCTCAGAACCTCAATATTTTAGCTTATGATGGTTTGGGGAGTACGCTGATGGTTCAATTGCATCTCTTGAAAGTAAATTTAGTAAGAAATCATGCTTACTTTAGCAAATATGAGCGATATTTAATGGATATGCTTTTAGTAACGAAAGGAGAAGTGAAATTCAATTCTAGCAAACTTGATGTCTGATTGGCCAGCTTGGCATGTAATCGTCATTAGTTGGGCCGAGAACAAACATTACAGTATCTACAGGTGGCATCAGCTTTGCTAATCGGAGGGTTGACATTGACATCCGTCACACTTCAACAAGGTATTACTATTATCTGGTTTTGCCTGAAATCTTACCACATGGAATTTTGTTCTCAGGTGCGAGTTCTATTCAATATTCACTATGACCTGAGAAATTTTGACTCCAACTTGCAGCGGGTCGAAATGCCCAACAATATATGTCTTCTGCTCTTTGTGTTGGAGTGACCGCTGGAGTAGCGGCAGCGGTTAAAGCCAACGGAAGGCAATTCTGTTCGAGACCTCGCTTGTGCAGACTCGTGTAACAATTTTCTGAACTCGTTCATTCAAAACGTGGAGTTACTGTTGGTGAAAGCCTTGTAATTTTTTAGCTAATATTTACAAGCGACTTGTGGTTAAAATGGTAAACTTGTTTTACTGTTTCCGGTTGCTGCCGATAAGTTACTTGGGCAATCCAAACAAATCGAAATTGCTCTGAATTTACTCCAAATCTAACGTGATTCCAACCGAACGAAACACTTGCAATGCCCTTTTGTATTTACTCCAAATCTAAGTGTTTTTTCTTACATGTGATAGGATTTCTTCTCTATTGTGCTTTTGTGTAAATTAAACTTTGGTTTTCTGGTTTTCCATTTGTCTTTGAACAATGATGGAGCATTCACATTCTATTCGTAATCTGGTTTTGCTGGAATGGGATTGATTACGAACATACATAGACATCCCTTTGCACGTACACACTTTCACAAAGACTAACACAAAACATAGGTGTTCAAAAGTCTAATGCAAAATATAGGTGTTCAAAAGTCTAGGCACATACACACTTTCACACACCTTTAGACTTTGTATACACACATAGCTTTCGGCCAGTACAGAAACATTGACAGCTATCAAAGTAAAAGACAAGTATAGCTGTGGATTGTCTGCCCTCCCATTTCTATACTCTTCTCATACCCTCCTGTGATATGTGGTCACGGTTAAGCCATATCAACATTTTATATTAATTTTTTATAGAAATAATAAAACAAAAAGTAATGAGAATATAAAATATTGACGTGGTTTAACCGTAACCATACAAACAGAAGGGTATAGAAAGAGTATGAAAATAGGAGGGCAGACAATCCATAGACAAAACATGCTAGCAGAAAAGTGGTTGTGTAGCCAACTATTCCACCAATTTCGGCCACTTTATTTTGATTTGAACTTCCAGCACCATTCCACCAATTTCGGCCACTTTATTTTGATTTGAACTTCCAACAGTTCCAACAGATTTCTTAATTTCTGTGGACTAACTACTAAGTTGGTCCATCTTCATTTCTGTGGCCATCCAATTTCTGTGCTAAGATTTCTTCTCTTTTGTGCTTCTGTGCAAATTAAACTTTGGTTTCCTGGGTTTCCATTTGTCTTCGAACAATGATGGAGCATTCACGTACTATTTGTAATCTGGTTTTGTTGAAATTCCTGCATGGCTTCTTTCTCTTAGTCTTATGCATGATGAGCACATGTCCGGAATCTGCAGCATTTCCCAGCCCTACCCTGCTTGGAAACATATCTGATCGCTTGGCTTTGCTAGACTTCAAGAAAAGAATAACTGAAGATCCCCTCAGTGTCATGAGCTCGTGGAATCATTCCATCCACTTCTGCAGTTGGGTAGGCATTACATGCCACCGTGCCACCCAAAGAGTCTTGATTCTGGACCTGCAAGATAAACAGTTGGTAGGCTCCATTCCACCTTCCATTGGGAATCTTACTCGTCTAATTGAAATAAGGTTGGGAATCAACAAGTTTCATGGTGAAATTCCTCAAGAATTGGGTCGACTGCGGACCTTGGAAAGTCTCAACCTGTCTTTCAATTCTTTAGGCGGGAAACTTCCGACTAATATGTCCCACTGTACACAACTCAGATTTTTGGATCTTTTTTCCAATAAGATTATTGGGTCAATTCCACGCCAACTCAGTTCATGGTTGAGTTTGACTGTTCTACAACTTGGAAAAAATAATCTCAGTGGAACCATCCCAAGTTGGATAGGAAACTTTTCTTCTTTGAGGTGTCTTGCACTTGGCCTCAACAATATTCAAGGAAGCATACCAAATGAGCTCGGGCATATAACCACCTTGGAGATATTCTTTGTTGCGCAGAATAATTTGTCTGGTATGATCCCTTCTTCAATTTATAATATTTCTTCCATATACAAGTTCAGTGTTGCTAAAAACCAAGTACATGGAGAGCTACCACCAAATCTCGGCATCTTGCTTCCTAATCTCGTAGCATTTTTATGTGGTATAAACAATTTCACAGGAAATATTCCTGTATCATTGTCAAATGCTTCCAGACTTCAGGTGTTTGATATTTCTATAAATGACTTCACGGGGACAGTCCCTGGAGAAAGTCTCAGAAGCTTGCGAAGCTTAATTTCGCTAAACTTTGCCCAAAATCGACTGGGAAATGGAAAACTTGGTGATTTGAGTTTTCTCAATTTCTTGACTAATTGTACTAGTCTTCAAAAATTGGGTCTTGCCATTAATCGTTTTGGAGGAGAAATCCCAAGATCCATAGCCAACCTTTCGACCCAACTACAAGTTCTTTCTCTAGGGGCAAATATGTTACATGGAAGCTTCCCAAACGGCATCGGAAATCTGATAAACCTCATTGTTCTAGAGATGGCTCAAAACAATTTGGCGGGTGTTGTCCCTGAAGAAATTGGGAAGCTCGAGAAGATGGGGAAACTGTCTTTGTATGATAACAAATTTTCTGGGCCAATTCCATCTTCCCTGGGTAATATGACTTCATTGATAGTGCTCTACATGGATAGCAACAATTTTGAGGGAAGTATACCTCCAAGTCTCGGAGACTGTCCAAACCTGCTACTACTTACACTTTATAATAACAATCTAACGGGCAACATACCTCAAAAGCTTATGGAGCTTTCAACCCTTTCAATTGTTTTGGGCCTGTCTGAAAATTATTTGATTGGTTCACTGCCAAGTAATGTGGGTGATCTGGTGCATCTCACACTGCTAAATGTATCAAAAAACAAGTTATCAGGTGAAATCCCCAGCACCATCGGCAGGTGTACTAGTTTGGGGGGCTTGTACTTGGACAACAACAAATTTGAAGGAACAATTCCTCAGTCTCTTAAAGATTTAAAGGGCTTGGAAGAACTTGACATTTCAAACAATAACTTATCCGGGCAGATTCCTGAATTCTTAGGCAAGCTTGGAGCACTTAAGTATCTCAATCTTTCTTATAATGATTTTGAAGGCGAGTTGCCTAAAGAAGGAATTTTTTCAAATGTCAGTGGTGTCTCGGTTCTTGGAAATTATAGGCTCTGTGGTGGCATCCCACAATTACATCTACCTGCATGCCCCAAAAACAAACACCATTCATCTCGAGGACTACTTTCCCCAAAAGTAGTCATCCCTATAGCTTGTGCACTTGCATTCATAATTGCTCTATCATGCTTCTTCAGTGCTCGTTCAATGCTCAAAAAGTCAAGAGATGGACTTGTAACTTCACGTTCTTATAAGGATTGGAAATTAGGTGTTTCCTACTCACAACTTGTTGAATCGACTAATGGTTTCTCAGTGGATAATTTGATTGGTTTGGGAAGTTTTGGTTCTGTTTATAAAGGTGTAATTCCTAGCGATGGAATGGTAGTTGCTGTTAAGGTATTAAACCTTCAACAACAAGGAGCGTCCAAGAGTTTCAATGATGAATGCAAAGCTTTAAGAAGTGTCAGGCACAGAAATCTTGTCAAGATCATAACTGCATGCTCGAGCATTGATAATCATGGTAGAGACTTCAAAAGTCTAGTCTTCGAGTTCATGCCAAATGGAAGTCTTGACTCGTGGTTGCATCCTAGAGATGAGGATCAATCTCCAAGTAAAAGATTGAATTTTATGCAAAGATTGAACATGGCCATTGATGTTGCTTCCGCGTTAGATTACCTCCACAACCATTGTGAAACGTCCATTGTTCATTGTGATCTAAAGCCGAGCAATGTACTTCTTGATGAAGACATGGTAGCCCATGTTGGGGACTTTGGTTTAGCAAGGTTCCTCTTGGAAGCATCAAATGATCCTTCTCTTAGTCAAACAATGTCATCGCAACTCAAGGGTTCTATAGGTTACATTCCTCCAGGTATGAGCTTCCATCATTCTAATTTATATTTTCGGTTCTTAATTATTAACTTATTACTAAAAACCAACTAATTAAATTCTATTTATTAAAGATATACTATTGACTCTTTTTCCTGGAAACAAGTAACATTAATCTGAAATAAGATATCAATTTTAATAGTCAATTGCATGTGACATCTTATTGTCTATATGTATGTCACTGCAGAGTACGGCATGGGAGGCCAAGTTTCCATACGGGGAGATGTTTATAGCTACGGGATACTCTTGCTAGAAATGTTCACAGGAAAAAGACCTACTGATGACATGTTCATTGAAGGTCTAAGCATTTACAAATTTGCAGCCATGGCTTTGCCTGACCATGTCATGGACGTTGTTGACCCATCATTGCTCATCGACCTCGAAGCTGATGGTAGTGTTAATGATGACAGATACGAAAGGATTGCGTTGCCTAGACGTAACAATCGTAGAGTGGTGAAAGCAAAAAAGGTAGAGGAATGCTTGTTTGCTGTGATGCAGATCGGACTGTCCTGCTGTGCAGTATCACCAAGAGAGCGGATGCTTTTGAATATGGTTGTCGGAAAAATGAGTGCAATTAGAGACTCGTACCTCAAAGTTCAAGAAGGCTAAAAAGGACAAAGATATGCTGCTTGTGGTTTTTCTTTTCTGTACCTTTCCTACCATCGCTTTGAACCTTGCCTCTTTTATGTTAGCGGTTGTTTTATAAGGACGAAGTTTTCATTTGTATGACTTGAAGCTTTCAAATTCTTATTTGTGTGGAGCTATTTGTAATTGTCTTGGTTATATCTATCCTTTTTAGAATCTGATAAACTCAATGCTGAAGCAGTTTATAACATTTTAGTCTCATATTTCTTCCTAGATGGTTGCATGTGCTACACAAGTTTTGTTGGATTTTTTGTTTTTTGGTAGCATGTGGGTTATGGTTGTGACGAAGGATGAAAGATTGTTTTAAGGCAAGTATAAATATGTTGCCGTTCATAATCTATTTGCCCCGACATACAATGTGCAAAAGGGATATGCGAATAAGCCTTGTGGATACAGTTAATTTGCACACTCCTAAAACAAAGTCCAAACACTCAAGGAGATAGACAAGAATAGTCAAGATTTAACTAGAAATTGATACTGCAGATTTAGTTTTTAGGCTTTCATTATGTCAAATAATAGGAATATAAAGATAATTCTCACTTTTTTTTTCTTCTCTCTGGCCTTGATATCACTTACATGAATTTCTATATTGTGTCGTGTTCATTCTAAAACATTTGATCGAGTTGATTTTATGGGCAAATAAATAAGATAGCATGCCTCAAAATATGTTTTCCGAAAATAAATTTATTTTATTATAATAGGTCGTCCCCCTTTACAACATAAAATTGGTAAATAAGAAAAACAAATTTTGTTATATGAATTTTTTTAAACAAATGATATTATCAATAAAGAAGTGGATCAAGTATTTAACAATATTGTGGTTGAAATTCGTTTTTATCGTGAGTCAAAACCTCTCCATTTACCCCTATGTCAGCCAAGCACAGCTCCCCCAATCGCTCCGATCCTCTGTTACAGTAGCATCCCTTCATCCAAGTCCTCTCCAGCTATCTTCAGTAAGCTTTGCTCTTTTTGCTTCTCGTTCTTCCTCTCTAGTTTTCTCATATGTAGAAAACTGCTGCTGTATTTTGATTATTTCCATCTAAAATTCAAATTTCTAGCCGAATGCGCATTCGATTACTTGTTTTAGGGTTCCTGTTCTGTTCAATTTATTAATCGTTTCATCTATTAACACAACATGTGCAATTCCCACAATTTGTTTTCTGAGATGGGAATTAGGCAAACATCGGAAGCACCCAGAAGTTGACAGAGTAATTAGAATTTAAAAATTTTGGATTTTTTGGGTTTTTTTGGTATTGGAGTTATGGGGCAATGAACTGCTTTGCATTGATGAATTGGTGTGACAAAAGTAAACCATTTTTATTATTTTTGTGCATAGTTGCAAAAACAGATCATGTTTCGCTTAGCTTCTGGAAATCATTTTGTTTTGTTCATCATCGAGACTTAGCCAATATTCTAATCAGATATTTTTCTTAGGAAACTTGTTTGTTACTGCTTGTATGTTTGACTATTGTACTTTCTCGTTCGATACGTTTCCAACCTACTCTCATTCTGTGGCTAGTCTAGTTAAGGAATTAATGACTTCCATAATTCTCACTCGTAATCTTTGTATGTGGCATGCATCTACGAATGTTTGAACTCCTCGGTGTTCTTGGAGCTTTGTTAATCCAATTTCATATCTGATTTAAGATTCAGTAGATGAACTCGGCATTTCCTTTTTATCTTCCACTAAAAGGGACTCCATGCTAAAGATTGCTAAGTAAGTCGACGCTATACTCTTAAAAATCTTTCAAAATCTCAATTGAGTACGCCCCGCTTAATGATTTTGGCTACGTAGTGTGTCCTACCCTTTGCTCCCGAGTCCAATCCCTTCCCCCGAGATTAGGGTAGTCAAAAGAAAGGACCCCATTACTATGCGATTCAAAACTTATGGTCTACAAAATGAACACCTTTGTTAGATGATCCAGCCATTCAGATTTCGATCAAGCTCTATGGAATGTGAAGAGTCATCATATAAGTGTGAATTTACAAAAATATTATTCACATCTCTTCTTAAGAACATAGATCATTTGCGTGAGCGAGATTATTGGAAAACATATATTTCAATATGTACGTATGTGTATAATACATTTTTAGTACATTAGAGTTGTTAAATGTATATTTCAACGAATCATTCTGACGTGTACAGCAAACAAAAGCACACAAATTTACGAACGAGGATAAATAATTAACAAATAGTTTTATTGTCAGTCGCCGCACAATTTCAAACCTCATTGGATTTCCCATTTCATGCATAAAAGAATTGAGACTTGTTGAGTTGTTGAGGTGATAAGAAGATACAAATTCGTTTTAACACAATTGAAAGCGTTTTTAGAGAAAATGTTTGGTTTTTAGTTAAAATGGTCTCTAAAATTGACATAACTACTCACTTTGGTCCCTCTGATTTATAATCAATAGAAATGGTCCATAAAATTGCTCATTGTCAATCATTATGGTCATTTCGTGAAAAATCTTAGTTAAATTACATGTATTTTTGTCAAATCAACTCCTCCACTTGAACTGTTGGTTTCTTCAATTTCCCTGAGATTTTGCACAGAAAACCAAAATAATTGCTGGTTGACAATCACATAGATTACTTTCATTGATTTTAAATCTCAAATGACCATTTTGGTTAAAAAAACCACAATGTTTTTGAGTTCTAAAAGTACACGAAGTACTTTTTTAGGGTTTACTTGTGTTTTTACTAAAAACTATTTTCAAAAATATTTTCACTTAAAACGCTTTCAGTTATTTGAAAATCACTTCTAAACGAGTTTTTTTTTTTTTTTTTTTTTTTTTTTTTTTTAATCTTTGTGCCATATAGAAGCCACCACAACCATCATTGGCTGGTCAAAAATGCCAATTGGCAACAACAAGATATCCTAAAAGATGATCACTTGCAGTAATTGGTACACGTCATGAACCAATTTTCTCAATTCAAGCAGCGCAGCAGCTTGTTTGCTGAACATTTCTCATGGCAGCCAAATTCTCTCATCACTAAAAGTCAAGGCAATTTTGTCACCTACCCTTCAACTTTACTGCAATCAGCAATCGCTTGGAGCTGCACCCCACTTTATTATTTTCTCCCATCATCACACACGCTAGTGACTAGGACTGGGAAATAGATTGAGATCAAGTTCGAGTCAGTCTAACTAGTGATACGATGAAGCAGTATTGATTTTCATTTGTAAGTTTGAGGTCTCGGATTTGATTCACATTAATAGCGAGAATATATTATTTTTTGTGTTGAGTTTAATATCTAGTAAGTGGTTGACCCATTGTGTGGCCTAAACCAGCCACTTAAATGCAGAATAATGTTGTATCCAAAGAGTTCTTTTAGCCCCCCTGCAGAAGAGTGTTGTATCCAAAGAGTTCTTTTAACACCCCCCTAGAATAGATTATCCCATTTAGATGAGTCTTATAACAGTAGCGCCACTGATGGAATGAAGGCTCACCTAACCCACATTCCATCCAAATAATATAAAATCCGATCAAGGTATCCCAAAAATCAGGATTGAGTTGCCCAGACGCATATCCAATGAAAGATAGCATCCGTTGCAACCAAGGGTGCAAAGGCAACTTCACCCCTAAGGTCAATAATATTTGGGTATAGAACATAACATGACCCTTGGGTGGTTCAGAGGGCAGTTTTTCATGATGTACCAAATGCATTCCTACACTGCGGGGGATACTACATGACTGCCTTAGGGCCTCAAGCTGCCTTTCGCTATCTAACAAGTTTTTCTCTAAAAGGTTCGTTGTGGACTTAGAGCGAAATATGGGTATGGTGTCAAAAACAACCCTCTCACCCACTGACATGAAGGAGGAAGAACCAATATTGGCTAAGGTTTGACAATTGCGAAAATCATCGAATGTTTCTTTGGTACAAGACTCCAACAAAGGCTATGAAAACTCCAACATTGCAAGCTCAAACCTAAAGCTAGAGCTAGGGGAGCCCTCATCACTAGGACTTCTAGACTCTGACATATACAACAAATAGAAACAAACTTTATCACTGCATGAAAGATCGAAACATAAGGAAGTTCCTAGGGCATGAAGAAAAGCTCAATCAGTTCATCATGTTCTTAACCAAATACATGAACACTTAAACAATTCAACAAGAATGAAAACATGCGATTTAGTGAAGAAGACTACCAACCTGAAGATGGTGCAAAGCAATGCCGGAATCCTTCTCAACTAGAGAACACTCTGTCTTCCAAAATTACTACAAAATGAGCAAATGAAGGCAAGGTAAAGAGTGCAGACTTATCCTTCTTATATAAGTTCAACATGACCAAAGAAATTCAAAATTCAAATTCAAAACATGAAAAAGCTCCACATGGAAAGTTTTCAAACTTCCACACAAGCTAGGGAGTTTCAAACTTCAAATTTTCTGTTCCCCCCATTCCAAAAAATATATATAAAAAAATAAAAATAAAAAAACAAAAAAAAAAGGAGGAGGAGGAACACAACAACTTCATCAATGGAAGACAACAACAATTCTCAAAAGCTTCACACATTCTTGATCAAGATAGTGTGAAGCAAAATCAATTTATGGTGCCAACAAAAGCTTCAACAAGTGAAGGCAACAACAAATGTCAAAAGCCTCACACACTTTTCATCAAGATAGTGTGAAGCAAAACCAATTTATGGTGCCAACAAAAACTTCAACAAATGAAGGGCAACAAAAAATGTCAAAAGCCTCACACACTCTTGATCAAGATAGTGTGAAGCAAAACCAATTTATGGTGACCAACACAAAAGCTTCACCTACAAAGCTTCAATATCAAACAAAGCTTCATTAGTGGAGAGCAACTACAATTCTCAAAAGCTTCACACACTCATGATGAAGATAGTGTGAAGAAATCAATTTATGGTGCCCAACAAAGCTTCAACACAAAAGCTTCACACACTTTCACTTTTGATCAAGATAGTGTGAAGCAAAATCAATTTATGGGGTGCCCAACAAAGCTTCAACACAAAAGCTTCACACATTCTTGATCAAAATAGTGTGAAGCAAAATCAATTTATGGTGCCCAACAAAGCTTCAACACAAATGCTTCACCTACAAAGCTTCAATACAAAAACTTCAAAACAAAAGCTTCACCTACAAAGCTTCAACACAAAAGCTTCAATACCAAAATTTCACCTACAAAGCTTCAATACAAAAGCTTCACACAAAAGCTTCAACACAAAAGCTTCAATACCAAAATTTC